AAAGGAAAGAAAAGATGAAGAAGTGGAAAGAAAAAAGAGAGGAAAGAAAAGGAAATAAGAAGTGGAAAGAAAAAAGAGAGGAAAGAAAAGGAAATAGAAGGAAATGAGAAAGAAAAGGGAAGAGAGAAAAGAAGAGAAGTAGAAGAGAAAGAAAGTGAGGGAGAAGAGAAGTAGAAAAAAAAAAAAGAAGAAAAAGAAGAAGGAGACGGGAGGCAGAAAGAGAGGAAGAAAGGAAAAGAAAGAGAGGAGGAAGAGGAAATGAGGAAACGGAGGAGAAGTGGTGATATATATAAGACATATACGGACCGGTTTCGGTCCGTATAATCCTCAATGGCGCGCGACACCAAAAAATTTCAATTTTTTCGAAAAAATTTCAATTTTTCCGGGAAAAATTTTGGCGCATTAATAATATTCAGACCGAAATCGGTCTGAATATAAATAAATTACGACAGAATCAATAAGATTCAAATCAACGGTAAAAATTTGGCGCATAAATTAATTACGGACCGATTTCGGTCCGAATATATTCGTAAAAAATATTCCACACATTTTTGTTCTTTTCATTTAAGGACATGACCATCTTCTCGTTATCTAAATCCATTGGAATATACGGACCGATCCCGGTCTGCATATATGCAAAGAATCAAGAAGCTTCCATGCTTTTCATTTTTCAGACCGATTTTGGTCCGAATATAGTAGAAAAAATCCAGAAACTTCTTCCAGTGCACATTTTTATTCTTTTCATTTAAGGACATTACCATTTTCTCGTGTTCTAAATCCATTCCTGCGAAAACCAATTGCATGTACATCGAACCTATAGTCCCTTAGAACCACAAAACCATCGATTGTCTAGCTGAAATTATCTTACGATACTACGGAGTAATATCGTTGCAAAACCACGAACGTATAAGTTAAAGGTTATTAGAGATAATGTTACGTAATGCTCTTTTGGAGTAATAAGCAAATAAAATTCATTTTTTTTCATAAGGTTAACCACTATGGCTTGCAAACATTCGGAATGTTACGGTTTAAAACAATAGTAGAACGACTTAAGCATGAAATAACAAAAAAAAAATAAAAGCTGTTGTTCATTGGAATATACGGACCGATAACGGTCCGTATACATATATACGGACCGTGATCGGTCCGAATATAGGCAATCCGTGGGATTTTTTTTATCTTAAAAATAAATTAAATTTAGTGTGAATATATACGGACCGGTATTGGTCTGAATATATGCAAAGAATCAAGAAGCTTCCATGCTTTTCATTTTTCAGACCGATTTTGGTCCGAATAT